TTATGAACTGCTTCTTGTGTATATGAAACTTGGTACCAGCCATTCAACCGTTGTTCTTAGATGTCCAAGAGAAAGTGAAAGGTGTTGACACAAGTAGGAATTGTGAACTATGTACGTATAAAAATCTGTGCTGTGGTTCATGCACTGTAGTGAGTGGTGAGGAGGAGAGATCTGTTAGGCTTTCGGCAAGTTGGTTTTTCACACAACTCTTTTGAGGGAGGAAAAGCTTTAAAGGCTGCTTCTCCTTACAGGAGCTGTAGCCGTGCTGTGGAGAAAAAAGGGCAGTTTACCCCACATATCTGAGGCAAAGCTCAACCTCCTGGATAGTCACCTTGGCTCACCAGCATCATGGCTGTCCAGATACGAAGCAGGAGAAGGAAGGAAGTTGAACCTATCTTGCTTTGTGTTCCACTGGTCCTCCATGTAGAGTCTTTGGGGCAAGGAGCTGTAGGGCTTTCAACACTTGCTCTTCCCCAGTGCTATCAAAGAATCTAATAGGCATAAATTGAATAATAGAATCAGAGAATGGCTTGGGCTGGAAGGGATCATTACGTCCCAACTCCCCTGCCACAGGCAAGGCTGCCAGCTGCTATAGATCAGATTGTCCAGGGCCTCAGTCAGTCTGGCCTTAAACACGTCTAGGGATGAGGCATCCACAAGCTCAGGCTGTGAAGGTTGTGAGGTTGTGAAGACTTCAGCCAGTCTTCATAGGAGTGGTGCTCTAGCCCTTGGATCATCTTTGTGGCCCTTCCCTGGACCCTCTTCACAACCTCCACATCTCTCCTGTGTTGTGGCCCCAGCCACATTCTCTGCATCATTCTCTAATTTAATGTCCATCTTGAATTAGGTTCACTTTGAAAATATAACAAAAATATCTTTCCATTCCTAGCATTTCACTCTCACCATACTGATGTGTCACAACACCTTGTGATGTTCTCAAATGTTGGCTGCTGGTGAAGGAAATAGTGTCCATGGGGCTGTATTATCCTTAGCTGCAAAAGCACAGTTCCACTGGCAGCCTCATAGGTACGTGAGGAGTATAGGGAGTACTGTGTACCTCATTGAGCACACACAAACAGAAGGCATTAATTTAGTGTAACTGAATTTTCACCTTAACACATTCCTCAGGTTATTTAAAAACAACAGCAAATGGTGTAGAAATCCCAATAATATCTTAAGAGCTGGCACTCTATAATAATAATGAAACAGTGTGTCTTACAAGCAACACAAGTATGTAAGATACTTATTGTACACACTTACATCAGCACAGTAGGTGTATTCATAGTAAAGTGTTCAAAATTGGTGTATAGTAACTATATTGTGGACTAAATTGCTAAATAACTTCCATGATTTTAGGTTAAACCTGGATGTAAACATCAAGAAAGTTTCTGAGTTAGCTTCTTAAAGCGTTTTCCATAGTGCAAGTTGGGTTAAACCACAGTAAATGCAAAGTAGCAAACACATTTTTTTACTTAATTTCATTTTACAAATGCATCACCTATAGAACATTTGAAACTGGGTGTATATAAATGCATAACTTCCTGCAATGAGAGTCACTTTAAGAAAAACTGGAAAAGTAATAGAGTAATAATCATCTTAAAGTTTCATTTAAAAGATAGCCTTGTTGCCAAATAAGTATGCTCAGAAGTAGTGCCTTCTTTCCAAATAATTTTCTGGGGCCAAATCAGCTGATTGGAGTGTTCTGTCACTCTTAAATACTAAGTTATCCTTGATGATCAGAAACACATTAAATATCATCATGAATAAGTTATAATTTTCAGAAGCATGGTCAGAATGGTGATCTACCCAAAATGATTAAACGTTTGAATAATTTTTAAGATGCTGCATGCTTGTCTCAGTGCAGGTTATTTTTCATTATCAACAGTCTTTGATTTGATAAGCAAAAGGTGCTTTCTTGGTTCTACATGCAGAAATAACAAGCAAACAGAATGCAGCCAGTAGTACTGAGGCACTTTAACTGTGCTAACAGAAGTAATCCTGTGCATCTGCACTATGGGCTGTGCTTCAGGAGGGGATTGCTACATTGGCTTACTGAACATATTTTAATAACAATTTCTTTGTGAAGTTCTTTAACATAAATAAAAATGCAGCTGAAGGGTAGTTATAATCAGTCACTGTTCTTTCATTCAGAAGTGGTTCGCCGCCAAGATATAAATTAAAATTTAAGACCAACTTTCCCTGGAGTCATCACTCATTTAGGGAGTGCTTTCTTTTCAAGAGCCCAGCTATCCATCAGTGCTACTTTTATGGCTGCACAGCTCTTGGAGTATTATATCCCTCCCATTCTTCAGTGTAACTCAGTCCCTTTTCTAGAGTCGTGTGAATACAGCAACTGAAAAAATGTGGTGAAATGGGAAATTTAACTGTGATTTTCAAAGTTGTTGTGTAGCCGCAGACATCTTATGAACACCTTATGAGACACCTTGTGAACTGTTTGTGATCTGTAAAGGAAACCTGTTCTCTAGGGCTCTCCGTAGCCAGAGCTTGAAGGAGAATAAAAGCTGTCTTTCTTGAAACACATGTAAGCAAGACCCAGAAAGCATCCTCTCTCTCACAGCGTGTTAGAGTACAAGCTAACAAACTGGAATGGTAAGCTCATTAAATAAGTTATCTTACGTTCTTCTGTTTCACCTGGCCAAACAAAGTATGTACATTTATAAACAAATCTCTTGCCTGCCCTCCCTTCCTGCTCCTCCCTTGCAGTATCAGGCATCTCTCTGGTTTTGCTCTCCGCTCCACACGCTTTCAGTATCTCTCAGAGCCTAATGATTGTGCATGGTAATTCACAGGTGACAAGGAGTGTTTGTTTACTTCACCTCTAAAGTTTATCTCTGGATTTATACCTTGATGCAAGCAACTCCAATCAGTATCCCAGTTCATACTTGTGGGAAACTGTAGGGACTGGAGCATCTCCCCTATGAAGACAGGCTGAGGGAGCTGAGCTTGTTCAGCTTGGAAGAAAGAAGGCTGCGGGGTGACCTCATTGCAGCCTTTCAGTACCTAAAGGGAGCCTACAAACAGGAGGGGAATCAACTCTTAGAAAGGGTAGATAACTGCAGGACAAGGAGAAATGGTTTTGAGGGAGGGAGGATTTAGGTTGGATATCAGGGGAAAGTTCTTTACTCTGAGAATGGTGAGGTGCAGCAACAGGCTGCCCAGAAAGGTTGTGGATGCCCCATTCCTAGGGCAAGGCCAGATTGGATGGGGCCCTGGGCAGCCTCGTCTAGTATTAAATAGGGAGGTTGGTGGCCCTGCATGTGGCAGGGGGGCTGGAGATCCATGATCCTTGAGGTCCCTTCCAACCCTGGCCATTTTGTGATTCTGTAATTCTGTGATTGTGCCCCAAGTTTGCTCTCAATCCATCTCTTGGTTTCCTCTCTCAGCGTACTGTTGTCCGTGCTTCACTTTAGAGGGCAGTAGCTGAGAGTGAAGAGAGGACAGATGTAGCCTATGTTTTTGGTCTCCTTAGCTGTCTCTGTTTTCACAAAAGGTACCTCTGGAGGGCTGACTCTTGACTGTCTGCCAGACTCCATCCAGCCACTCTTCCCTGCTTCGACAGAACTTGGAATCATAGAATCTCTCGAGTTGAAAGGGACACTTAGAGGTCATCTAGTCCATCTCCTCTGTAATGAACAGGGACTGACAGCTAGATCAGGTTCCTCAGAGCCTGGTCAGCCTGACCTTGAAAATGTAGTGAGAAAATAAGATGGAAGACAGGAGGATGGGGAATGAAGCTTATGGTCAGAACACAGCAGTTTGTCTGTGCTGCTCCTTCTTCCTCACACTTTCCTCTGGCTCCGGCATGGCTCTTCTTTGGGCTGCAGTCCTTTAGGATGAGCCTGCTTAATGTGGGCTCTCTATGGCTCGTAGTTCTTATCATAAGAGCTTTCTCCAGCTTGCTCCTGAGCTTCCCCATTGAGGAAATACTCCCTCCACACGCTGCAGTATGGGTATCTGCTCCTCAGGGGTTCTTCCCACAAGCTGCAGGGAAATCTCCACTCTGATATGTGGAGCACCTCCTTCCATTCCTTCTTGTCTGGCTCTGCTGTCAGGACTGTTACTCGCTTTTTTTCTTCACTGCCTGTGCAGTGTTTTTGCCCTTTCACAAAGAGCCTTGCCCTGAGGCACCGCCATCTTGGCTACCAGGCTCAGCCATGCGCTGCAGTGAGGCCAGCATGGGGCAGCCCTGGCCTTGCCTCACAAATACAGCTCCTCGCTGCCTGCACCTTAACACCTACTGCATTACCATACAGTATGGATGCTGTAAACTGTGGATGGACAAAATAGTGGTGCAGTGAGTGTTTGGATATTCTTAAGACTTGAGAACATGTGACCTTTCCGAAAGGTCTTACTTAAAGGAGGAAGCTTAGTTACCCAGCATCAGTCACCTGAAAGTTAGCCGTCTGTGCAAGGTTATTTGTAGATGCTTTGACACATTACATGTAGGGAAAGCACTTTCAGAAGTTGACACTGACAGAAAACTGGATACCTGGCCTATTTTAGATGCCTAGCTGTGAGCTGACTGGCGTGACGCAGATCTCAACCCAGTGTCTTAGAACAGGCAGTCAAAAACAAAGGATTACTCTTGAAATTTAGCTGTAAAATTTGCCCTCATGTGTGATGTACATAGCACAAAGCAAATGCATTTTCTTCACTTTCTGAAGACATCCAGAACTGAGGGTGAACTGAGTCTTTGACTAACACTTAGTATGCATAATGATCTGTGTTCAGTGGCTTAGGTCCACAGAATGCATTCCTATAGCTTGTATGCATTCAAATATTTGCATGCCATTGGAAACATTTGTGTTTATCTGTAGAACTGCTAGATTATTTTGCAAATATGACATCTTATTTGTGAAGCTTCAAGCAAAATGTGCCATGCAGCTTAAGTGGATGGATGTGTTGTACACCCTAATGTTGTTCTGGGACAAGATTAATTTCTTCATGCTCGTATTAATCCATTATATGTCTCTTTCCAGCACAAATGGACCCCCGAGGCCTATCTCCCAGACAAATTAAAAGTGACAGTGATGATGACGACCTGCCAAATGTGACCTTAGATAGCGTTAATGAAACTGGATCTACAGCGCTCTCCATAGCCAGAGCAGTACAAGAGTAAGTATCGCCTTCTCAGAGTGAGACAAGTACTGACAAGGTGTGCCCTGGCTGCTGGAGGCACCAGTCATCAGCAGCTCTGCAGAGGTGTCTCTCAGCTTTGAGCTGGCCTACCTGTTAGCAGCTTTGCTGTTTAGCTTCATTCCCTTTAGGAAGAGATAGCTACCACACTCTGCTCTCTCTGATTCATTTCTTTCCTCCCTAATTACTAGGTAAAGTTTCAGATTAAAATTATTCTCCATTATTTGCTTACAGAACTTGTAGTGTATTTATATTTACTCCAAAGGGATAGCAGTTTAGACTTGCCTTGAAAAAAAAAAAAAAAAGCGAACACTTTTTTACTGATTGAAAGCAGCATCAGGAAGTTTCTTCTAGTTGCTGTCAAACAGAAATCGCCCACATTTCTCGTGAAGAATAGAATAATTGAAAGGAAATTAATGGTGTGCTTTGAACATTTTCTACTACTGCTGTTTTTCTTTGTACTTTTACTTTCTGGATGGACAAAATATATTCCCAATTTAATTTCTTCATTGCTTGTTCAAAAAAAAGAGAAAGTTTATCACAAGCATTAGTAATGCTGCAGGCACATAAGCTTGCTCAGTCACTGTAGCAGCTGGAAGGGAACCAACTGTGAGGTAAATAAGTATTAATATCCCCTTTTATAGGTGAGGAAAATGAGGCTATGTGTAAAGGTCACCCTGTAAGTCTGAAGCAGAGCTGGAAATAGAACTAGAGCCTCCAGGCACTGAAGCCTGTGCTAGCCCTACAAAACATATTACTCCATCCAAGAGGTTCAAACTATGGGCCTTCTGGACATTATTAAATAGGAAGGGATATAATAAGGGCTGCAAGACATTGTTGTTATATAATTAATTATAAATGCATTTAAAATGTATTAATATCTAAAAGTACTTACATTCTCTTTTCTTTCCTGGCTATCAATAGCCAAAAATGCTGATGTTCCCAAAGCAATAATCTATATGCTGAGAGAAAACTGTTGTGTTTGGGGGGAACTGCTTTTTTTGCACTGTTTAGGCAGCTGGAACATGAATTTTCTTCCTGAGGTGTTCCTTACATCACCCCCTTCCCGCCGTAATTCAACATTCCGTGCAAAGGTGCAGGAAGGAAGATGTGTTGTGCAGGAGAGGGCTGGCAGTAATGATTCTCCAGTGCAGACTTAGCAGGTACTGGGAGCTTGAAAGAGCATCCAGCCATGCTGCCTCTCAGAAATGCTCCACCTGTCCCGATTCGGGAGGACTTTGATCAGACACCTGCTAACTCATCTTTGGGTCAAGCACTGAAATTGTGATCCTCAAATCTGTATTCCCCCTGAGCAGAGAGGGTGTATGTCATGGCCAAGGCAGGGTGCTGGCTCTCACTGTAATTAGCATGACAGTGATAAAGGAAGGAAACAGTTCTTCACAAGTGCTGCTGCTGGTTGACTGACAGGCCTCACACATATTTTAAATTTGCTAGTTACAGCACCGAACCCTGAAGTGCCAAGTATTTTTTTTCTCAGTTTATAGCACACATAATAAGCCAGAAAAGTGGTATGACCCATCATGATTTTGCTTTAAATAGTTTTGCCTAATTAAAGAAAAGAGAAGAAGGCATGGAGAGCTGGTGAATACTTTTAACATATGAGTGGCTGGAAGATGCTGTTTTATGTGCTTGACGTTGCTGGAACACTTACAGAATCAGTCAAACCATGAAAAGCTTTTTTAGAATAATTCATTCCACAATTTATGAAGGAAAATGTGTTGAATATTACTTGGCTGGCTCTGGAGCTTAAGAATTAAATTAAGAAATTTAATAATACAGCATCAACTCATCCTTGTTCCAGGTTTTATTTAAACAGTAATCTGTTAGTTTATTTCAAAAGCCCCATTAGGAAAATTTAATTTGACTGTGATCTGCAATTTGTCTTATTTTTTACTTCATTCTCGGTTGCAGACACTATACATACAGCTGCTGAGCTGAAGAAAAAGATGTTAGCACATTATACTGACTCCATTCCATTCATTTCTTCCTTGGTCTATAATACATTGCCTCACGGGCAGGCTCCATTCTATAATTTTGTCATCTAGCCTGTACCTTAATTTTAGATGTCTAGCAAAGCAGTTCACTGAAGTTAAAAGCCTGCATTCTGTGTCCCATTCTTGCAGAGAGGAAAGTGCCTTTGAAGCCTTCCAAAGGGAGATCCTCTGTGCTCAATTTAGTATCTAAACTTAGCGGACAGGAATTTCCTCTGAAGACGAGGACAGGCACCTCCTGTTCCCTGAGTAACTGGCCAGTGTAGGTGCATGCAAAGAACGAGTAGAACAAGTGTTTCAGGTGGATCTAAGCTAAGTGTTGAGATGTGGTAGGTTGACCTCAGAGTCTAGAAGATTCTCCTATAGCAAGTGAACTTTCTTAAGCTGTATTTAAGTGCTTTCTTGTGAACAGGTAAACGGCTAATGACAAATAACTTACTGGTGAGAGTATTCTCTTCGTGGAGGATACTGGCAAATGCAGCGTGGCTGCCTCCAAAGGGATGTCAGTATCCTGTTCTTCAGCATTGGTTGCTGTTGTCCTTGTTTAACAAAATGCCAATCCTAGTTTGTATGTGCTAGTAGCAGGTGCCAGGCAGTATTTGACCTTTTTCTGATTGGGTTTTATACATTTTTTAAATTATCCTTCATAAGGATTATAAATACACGTCTATGTAATATATGTTTGCCTGTTGGCCCTTATCCTCCAATTGCCTAATTAGACATCTACATCCAGGCTCATTATCTGGCCTCCCAGCATATGGAGCAGATAGCAGGAGATGTGCCCAGCTGGTAATTCTTTTGACCAATGCTAGTTGTCTAATTTAGGGAGAAAGAGAACCGTGTAGTTTAGGGAGGCCATGCGCACAGCTGTCTGGGGTGTGCACATTGGCCCTGCAGTGCACACCCTAGTGCCAGGTGAAGGTAAGTCAACCCTTGGCTGGACTTGAGGGTCAGTACGTCACCAAGTGGGAGTTGGTGCTGCATGTACCAACATCTTCCCTTGGGTCTAAACCTGCTAAGTTGGATGAGTAGCACCAAGGATTAGCCATGAACTGGAGAAAACCAGTCAGTGTCTGAGGGGGAATGACATTAATATAATCATTTTTAAGCTTGTTGCCTTGGAAATTCCCCTTATGTGGGTAGTTCACAGGATAGCTTGGAATGCCTGTATGACAGCTTTGCTTTTCATATCATGTAAAACTGAAGGCATCCTCCTGTGTTTCTGCTTTATTTCAGGTCCTTTACAGTCTAAGTAGGAAAAAATTCTTACCAGAAAAATTCGGACAGTTAGATGCTAAGAGCTGCGTGTTTGGCATTAGTTTTATTTACTTAAACAGAAATGTAATTTGGTTGCATATTTGTAAAATAACCAAGTATGACTATTTTTTCTCAGGGAAATTGCCTTCTTGCTGCTAGCTTTGTATTGGCAGAGCTTGCTGACTTCTCATTAGTTGGTTTGGAATGACTTTGTAATCCTACTTCAGCTCAGCAAACCCAATCAATAATGTAAAGTTATAGATAAACAAAGTCATTATTTCAAGCAAAGCACTAGGGTGAAATTTCTTTATGTGAGAGTGCTGCTTCGTGGCAGTTCTTGTGCCTTACCATATCTTAGATTAAGAATAATTTATTAATCTTAGATAATTTGCTCTGCCTGGTAATAAATATTGCCTCAATATGTAGATTTCAGTGAGCTTTGCACTGTAAGCAGCATTTCATCCTTTTTCTAGCATGTTTTACAAACTCATTCTGACATGTAGCTCTCTAATAAAGAGCAGGTTTGCTTCTATATGCCTGACACCACTGGATACTTATTACACAGCAAGGATAGCATCGTATATTCAGGGTCAAATCTCAGACACACTCCAGAAATCTTTATGAAGGCAAGGAAAGAGAAAGCATTAGTCAAGGCTTAGAAGACCAGTAAATTGTTGTAAGGTGCCCCTTATAGGTTGTTCCCTCAGCTTAGGAGCCCTCCCACCCCTGGATGGCTATGATACAGTGGGTCTCAGGAGCCACCCCATGGTGCATAGCAGTGCAAAACTTGATCAGGGCTTTCATCTCCTTCTTGTCCTGCATGCTTGCACCACATAACTCCAGTATCTTAAAACATGCAGCTCTCTCCCTGCAAAAAACACGTGCCAAGTCATCTCCCCTACATGCAGAGACTGAGGGCAGAAGTGGGCGGGACAGAGGGGGATGTGTAATGTGAACTTATGATAAATGTATTGGTTAAAAAAAAATTAAAAAAATTCTAGACATTCCTTTCTGTCTCTATTTACTTTTTTTCTCACTGTGGGATGTAGGTGGATAAAACCTTTTATTTTCTTTAGATAATACCAAGGAGAAGATGCACTGTGCATGTAAACTGATGTTGCTGCTTAAGGTAGCTTCCTGTTTCTCTAGAGTGACTGAGAGGCAGAAAATTCAGAAAGGAAGTCCTGAATACTGGTAGTTATAGCTGCAGTTACCTCATAGAAATGTGATTTGTCATCTGGATGTGACCATGGTGACCTTTTGTGTGAACTCTTTTTGTGCTGCCCTGGATGCTGCTAAGTGCTTGCGTGAAAATGAGACTGGGGGCTTTGATCCTGCTGCCCCTTCTATTTGGCTATGTTATGAGATTGATACGTTAATGCTAACATGATCATCTTTATTTTTAAATTCTGTTGGAACATAGTTTTGGATACTGCAGTAGTGAAAAGCTAAGTCCCCAGCAGGTAGATAGCACAGCCACGGTACCAGTGTACTCTTAAGATGGTATGTAGCTTTCACATCTGATTTGTTTCTCCTTATATCTCTTATTTCCACAGTCCTGGGGTTGATTTTTTTTTTATCTCTCACAGGTTTTATAAGTGTTGTTCCCATCAACCATTCATTTTCTAGACTGATACTGTCTGTTTTCCTGTTTCAGCTGCAATCATTGCTACTGCCGTGCTATTCATTATAGGGAACTTTCACCTCAGT